CTTTATATCACTTCCCAATGACTCCCTCATGAACTGCTTCCCCTCCTTATCCCCGCACTATAACTTTAAGTCATGACTGACATTTCGCAGTGTAAGGCTAGGTTCTCTTCCCAAACCTTTACGCTTTTCGCAAATCAATCGACTATTGTCCATTCAACCTCACACTAGATTGTTGCCAATAGCTTCACCTAATCAAAATCGCAGGCACTCTAACCACGATTGTCACGCCGCAAGTTTCGGGGACCCTAGAATATTTGACAAGTCGCTTCTTGGTTGCTCTATTTGTGGTAGCAAACCAGAACCTTTGTTGCCTTTGCGGAAATATAAAAGTAAAGCCAAAACGTCAAATCATTGCGAGAGGGAAATCAACCATCACCGCGGGACACTGTTATCCAGTTTTCTCCTCCATTTATTCTTTTCGGGCCTCTTCGTCGTCCCATAGCTCCTACCCTGCAAGGTGACACCAATTGCCTCGGCGATTTGCGCTTCAGGAGAAGCAAAACACACATCAGGGAACAGAAACCACCATATACTTTGCATCATACCTTGCCCGAGGTTGGACGTGTTCACGACTCTTCCTTTGGCCCCCTCATCAACCTGTCAATCTGTCCTCCATTCTTTTTTTTATCTCTTTTTTGTTTTTCTGTGCTTGTGTGTGCGCGCGTGCTCAGATTTATCTAGACAAGGCAGGCCTTGGAGATAAATCTTTAGGCGTCATTATTATACCTGCTGAGTCACTTGAAATTTGTGTGTTGAGGATCGCTCTTGGTTTCTATAATCCCGATCTGGAAATGCAGGGCTATTCATTCACGCCGCCGACGGGGCCCCCAAGAGAAGGCCACAAAAGTAAGGCATCAATATTGCTCTATATCTCGATGAAGCGCAACAAAGATTCAGTTGAAGCCAGTCACTGATAAGCTCTAATCAACAGATTATGTATTCGTTGACGAACACAACAGGCATAAAAGACTCAAGGGTATGTCACCATCCTATGTTCAACATCAAACTCCTATTCACTGAAACGTCTTCTAGTGATGCGAGCGTGTAATGGCTGCAGAAAGCGTAAAATCAAATGCGACGCTGCTACAACAAACACATGGCCTTGCTCGGCATGCACACGTCTTAAGTTGGTATGTGTACCTCCTACCGTTGGGCAGGACAACGAATTCTCCACGGTGCAGGCTGTTGAGGCCAACTCGACAGATGCCATTGGTGCATCCAATACAACGGAATCGTTCTCGTCCTTTTCCATGTCCCAGGGCTATAGAGACAGCGGCCAAGCTGCGGTGGGCAGTATACCTTCATATAGCGATGCAATGGGGATATATCATCAATTCACCCATTCTGCTTCCCACCCTCCGGGCATGTATGAAGTAGGATCACCTGCCATAGCGGTCTCACATCATACCTACCAGCAACAGCAGATTTTCCCCTCTCAGACGGAGGGCTTGGGAACTATAGAGAGCGGTGTATATGGTGATCACGAGCAGTCCACAGCTGAGGATCTTAGCGAGGTCCTTGGTGAACTCAAGATCGATGAGACTGGTATAGGTATGGTTTCATCCTAATTTCTGATTTTGGGGGTGGGGGTCCGCTAATATAACAGATAGCGCCTTACATAAGGCAGCAAAAGAAAGAGAAGGGCGAACCAGAGATCCCTGTACAAGATGAAGCAGAAGAACCATTGCCTCCTCTCAGTACTGGTGCAGGCTCTACAATTCGCATTCCTCCGGAGCTTATGCCCTCCGATGAAGAGGTCATGAACTACTTCAAGATCTATTTTGATGATATACACCCTTATGTCCCTGTGGTGCATCGATCGCATTTGTACTACCAGTGGCAGTATGATCGGAATTCGATATCTCCCCTTTTGCTGGAGGCGTTGTTTGCATGCGCGGGAAGGCAGTCAGATGATCCAGCTCAGGGGGCACAGTGGCTCGCATTGGCGAATAGTAGGTTCCCTCACTTATGCGCATTCCTTTTCCTTGTCTTCGAATAGGATATTGTGTTTAGTATACTAGTTTTGACTATGAATCGCATTTAGGGCACGAGTCTAGTTTTATGGATGTACCCCGCCTAAGCACGATCCAAGCACTGCTTCTACTTCTGAAAGCCCGAGAATCCGTACCAAAGAAAGGCTACTACTACCGCTCGTGGCAGACTGTGAAAACAATTGTTTCAATGGCTAAAGATTTGGAAATTGATGAACACTGCAACACACATACAGAGCAAAGACTCTGTGATCTCAACCCTATAGAGTGTTTGGTACAGACAAGAGTGTGGCAAGCCCTCCTGGTTGTTGAAGTAATGATTGGTGCACCGCAAGGTACGTTACCGGTATTGGTGATATTTCTAGTACTAACGTTCAAAGGTCGATCGGACTACGGTGTAAATCCTGGCACCGTTTGTATGGATCCTGCACTGGATATTAAAGACCTTGATCAGTTTGAAATCAATCGATCTAGACAGTACTCCTACTTTGTCCAGAATGCTCATCACATTCGTATCATCACGGATATATACCACAAGATCAAGAGGCAAAAAGACTGGGGGGCCAATCCAAAGTTCGTTGAGAAGAACCCTCTCTTCACTGATTGGCTTCAGGGTCTTCCTTCAGATTTACAGATTAGCTATCCTCCTGATGGCTCACCCCCGTGGATACCGTCCCACTTTGTGGCTAATATGCATTCTCATTGCCATTTGGGCATCATTCTACTACACCGACCTCAGTTGCTTGCATCTAAATCCTTTGCCGCAGGCGGGGGGTGGAAAATGCATATGGCTTTGTGTTACTCTTCGGCTAAGTATCTGTGTAGACTTCAAGAAGCTATCCTACAGCGTTTTGGCCTCCCAGGTCTGCTCTCTATGCAAAGAGGTATAAATTTTGCGATTTACTGCATCATGACTTGCACAATGTTGCATTTGGTGCGTTTGTGTTCCCACCATACCAGGTTCAAACAATTAACGCAAATCCCAGGTCGCGATAACTTCTCCTGATCCGAACTTCCACACAGACGCGCGCGATTATTTTGCCCGACACATGCGTATCCTCGAGAGGTGCTCATCTGCCTGGCCGATGCCAGAAATGCAGGCTCAGATCGACTCCTTGCGGCTGGCTTTCTCGGCCGATGTGAATAGGCCCTTCGAGCTTAAACCCACATTCCCTTATGGAAGTCCTTCGGAGCCATACCATCCGAGCCCGCCGCCTCTCGACTCACAATACCAACCTCATGTAAGTCAGGTATCTGGCGGCGTCCGGGGTCGAGTGGGTTACAACCCTTATCCGATCACCCCACCAATATCAGCTAGTACTGAAGATTCAAAGTCCGATTGCTCTCAGCTCCATTCTCTGGGGATGATGCCGCCACAGCCTGTCTCGAGCCAATCAATGAATGCCCCTCTCGTTGACGAGAATAGCTGGGATCCGACCCGTATCATCACGTAAGCAAACCACAGAGATAGGCATTCTTTCAGACTCTTGCTGATGTTTCCTATCTAGCCAGTGGGACATGGCATTCTCCATGGCGCCATCCACAGTGAGTACGAATTCTCCGCCAATGGCTATGGACAATTCAGTTCAGGGGGTTCAAGCGCCTTTGGCAGGTCAATACCCTATCCAGTATGGGCAAACAACCAAGGTTACACCAGTCACTCCCCCTCAGGCCATCTCACCGCCTCAGTTCAATGGACAACAAGTACTCTTCACAGCGCGTGACTGGCAACAGAGTGTTGCCAGCGTTTATGATCCTAACGGCTTAAAACGACGCTGGAATTATTCTGTTGATATGGGTACAGAGCACACTCAGAAGCGTGCACGTTGAGTATTTAGTATATACATAGACCCTGGGAACTAACTCAGTTGTTCTATACTTGGAGAAAGTTGCTGTATGAATGACCTCTGTGATATAGATATCTTTCGTTCTAAAATACCCCTTGTCTTTATCTATCCTCTGAGCTTGTAAACAGGAGCTTCAACACTAACAGCGTGAACTTATGAATGTACTTTCTGGTTGCCATCATAGATACAGTATTCAGCAATATATCTCAGTATTAACTTTGGTATTGAGGTATAGACTACAGTATAAATAAATGGACATGCACTTTGTAATTTAACACAGCAAAACACACCTCACTACACGAAAATGCCACTGTTAAGAAGTGATATACATGGAAATATCTATATCTTGCTTATATACGGAATAGAGATGTTCAGTTGGGATTTTAGGAATACAGATAAATAGCCTGGGTCATAGATAAACCAATACTCTGTACATCTGCTAACGCCCCAGCCCCTGATTTAACAGTTATACAGCGAGTGAAAAGTATAACAGCTGCAAAAGCCATTGCCCATTACCACTCCTATGTCATTTCATTATAAGAATTCCATGCATATATTCAAGTGAAATATACGTACATCCGTAGTATGACAAAATACTTGGAGACATGCATTGAGGAGGACCATGGAGAGCGAAGGCAACTTGACCATTTCTGTGAAGCTGGTAGAAAGATCTGCCAAGATATGCGAAAAGAAGACAATAAACCATGACCCCAATCTGACAGTTGTTGGGTTATTAGATGACCCATAACTTGTCAGCTCAAGTGCGTCGACTTAATCCTATCCTCTCCTCCCGCGACCGGACAATTCTTGCCTTATCACCCGGCAAAGGTTTCAACTCATCACTAGGATCAAAGTTGAGACTGTTTTTGTTGTGATCGTGGCCTTTATTCTCCTTGGCTAATTTGCGAAGTCGTGTCTCCTCAAATGTCGCGAGGTCTTCCGACGTTATTGCTATTGCTGTGGGCTTGCGGCGAAGCATTATCGATATAGACAGGAGTACTGTCTGAGTTATTCCAATTAGAAACAGAAATGAACTATTTAATGTAAAGCCCCTTCGGCCCTGCGGAGGAAGTCACACCCCGTGATGGACATGAACTCCACGTGACCGATCTTGTACTTCGGGAAGGTGACGAACATTTTTACACTAATTGTTCTAACTTCAGCCCATCGTCTATATAGCTCATTGGCGTCGAAGATGTTTCAACTTCGAACCAAACTTTTACGCCATGAGCGTGCAAGACTAGTAGACGGGTGTCTTTCTCCAATTCGTCAGTTCTCGGTCATACAAGGACGAGCGAAAGACGCCAGTCAATCTGGTAAGGCCACAAGATCATTGCAGTCCTAGTTGTGTCTATCTCCACCTGACTCTTGTAGGTAATGATGCCCCTAAAGTTCGATCTCTTCACCCGGGTGTTTCATATACTCGCGCTTCTCCAAGGAAGACCAACCTTCCTCCAGCCAACTTGAACTCCAGAAAAACAGACTCCGACAAACCTCGTCCTCGACGCGTTTTTGACGCAAGATCTCTCGCGGCCCCTTCAGCCAATGGCCAGTCCACAAACATTCTAAGGAGTACCTCGTTGCGAAACCCTCGCAAGGGACCATCCATTCGCGCTCGGAGGCCGAAACCCCCAACAAAGTCGTCAACCTCCAAGTCACGCAAAAGTGGACGGCCTCAACGTGCGAAAAATACAGATATGGAAGAAATCGATATCTCTTTAATGGAGAATGTATATCGCGAACTCGCTGAGAAATCAAGGCCAACGCCTAGCCGCTACAAACCCCAGGTCCCTGATCTCTCTAACCTGAAGGAAACTTGGCCTTCTTTTCCAACGGGTACGACTGCCAGTACTGCTGAGGTTGTCGAAAAGCTATCCTCTCTAAGTGGCCGCTTTCCAAATGGTTATGTCCCCCCTTATGAACTGGGCATGCGGCTCTTCAGGGGACAGTTCGTTCAGTTTCTCGACGAGGAGGAAAAGGCACAGGCTATAGCAGACGCGAAGAAACTCTCCCAACAGCGTGCGGATAATTACTCCCAGCGGAAAGGCGATTTAGTAGAACCCGAAGACGTCGGCTTCCTTCCGATGAGAGCAGAGGACAGGAAGTCTTTAGTGCAATCTTACATCCAAGGAGCTTATCCCAAACTCAGTACTGAAGAAGCTGCCCAATCGTCTGTTCTCAGTGAGGTGACGAAGAATCTCAGAAATAACGAGTCTTACCAAGCTGCCGGGAAGAGCTCCCAATTTGTTGCAAAAGTGGAATCACTCCTGTCTTCCGCTCGCCCCGTGAGGCGAGCCTAAACACTTCTGAGAAGTCATTGTACATTAGCAATAGTATTCCTTGGTTCATCCCATATACTGGTTACATATATAAAGCAATTCATACTTTACGTCGGGTACTGTAACTATGGCAGCGCCGTTGGCATTGACCGTAGCACAATTGGATGCCTAATAATTACAATGATTCACAGAACACATTTCCGGCCAACGCTTCAGGTTATGCCCTCTCCATCGCCTTCTTTGCTGCCTCGAAAAGATCCCTCACTTCCCTTTGCCCATTCTCCGTTGCCTTTTCCATCTGTTCCTGTGCTTTCCGAACGTCATCCGGTCTAGCTATTTTCTTCTTCTGCATATCCTGAAGGCGTTTGTGTACAGAGCTTCTCGAGTCGCGGACTGCCGCCGTGGCCCTTTCCATGGCCGCTTTCGCGACACTGACTGTCTGATCCCGCGATTCTTTGGTCGGTGGTGGGATTGGTATATTCAGTTGCAGAGAGTTATGCATGTCTGGCTGGGGTGTTAAGGACAGATCGGAAGACACAACCGCCGAAGTTATGGGTTTAATGTGCTGTCAATCTTGTCAGAAAGAGCTACTAAGAAAATTGCGAGAGCAAAGGCTCTAGATTAAGGCTGGGGAGGGGCAAGAAAAAAATGAAAAAGAAAAAGGCCTTACATCTTCTTCAGAGACCAGTACAATTACCATGCGGCCTCCCTTAGGAACGACTTGAGCTAAATCCCCTAGTTTCAAGGTTTCTTTGCTTCCTTTGCTTAGCTGAACACGAAGATTTTCGATAGCATCTGTGTTAAGCCTTCCGCCCAGGCGCAGCTTGGAAAGTTCGTCTTTGAGACGGCACACCGCGGCTGCAATACCGTGATGCAGTTGAGCGAGATCATATGGATCGTCAGAAACAACAGCAGCTTTAGGGGGCCTTGCGTCAGGGCTTGAGCTAGAACTGCTCTTCGTTTTATCTTTTTTCTTAAAAAGTAGAGGACAGGTGGAAAACGCCATTCCCCCGTTTGGGACTTCTAGACTGCGCTCTTGAAGCAGCCAGCGCCCCCGTTGAAGGTTGACTGGCGCACTGACATTTGTAAGTGAGGATGATAGACGTTGAATATGACTAGATAATACTGGAATACGTTGCATCTTTCCTGGTATCCGCCCGCCACTGACAGACAGCAAAATCAATTGACCAGTTGTTTAAAGGTGATGGTTGACGTAGGCAAGGCTTTTTGCTCGAACATATCAGATAGCGTCTCCTTAACGCCGGGAACTGCCATATTCCGTACACACTCCACTCCGTAGATCACCGACTTCAAGGCCCACTAAACAATATAAAAAAAGATCGCTAGGTTTCTGCCCCATCCATAATACCGATGACTTAGGCCATGCAGTAGTTATACATCCTCTGTGGTTCGCACAGAATAGAGAAATTGCTAAACTAGTTATTGCAACATGCTGGAAGTATGGTTATTACATAGTCAACGCGCGTAAACTCATTACAGACGTTGGAAATTGGAACCTATGATAACCGCGACATATCATGACAAAGAGTATATAGATTCACCTGCTCATCAAAATCATAGCAACGGTCTTCTCTGAGATATTAGATAATGTTGACCAATCTGTACCGAATCCTAAACACACGCCTGGCCCAGAGAGCCCACACATATACACGAAACTCAAGTCAAAATTGTTGCATAGGTAGCAGAGCAGCAAATCGGCCTCTATTCATAATACTAAGTAGATAACGCGTCCAGTTCGTTTTTTGATTACTTTTTTTTTCCTACTTACGGCGGTGACCGCAAGTCCTGCCGAGATTCATTTACCGAGTGGCCATAGCCTTAGTAATGAGTCTCTTGAGGGCAAGCTCCTTCTTCTTGAGATCCTCGGGGGTGGAGTCTTCAATCTCGAGCTGAGCCATGGCATCGCTGAGAGCAGATTCAATCTTCTCCTTGTTACCACGCTTCAACTTCATCGACATAGTGGGATCGGAAACGATCTCCTCGACGCGGGAAATGTAAGACTCCAGCTGCTGGCGGGACTCAAACTTCTTCGTGAAAGCCTCGTCGCTAGACTTGAACTTGGCGGCATCTGGATGATGTCAGTTATGGTACGTGTCGGTTAATCTGATCAGATAAAGGTACTCACCATCGATCATTTGCTCGATCTCTGTGGTCGAGAGCTTACCAACAGCGTTCGAAATGGTGATGTTCGCACTACGGCCAGAAGACTTCTCGGTTGCGGTAACCTTAAGGATACCGTTGACGTCAACTTCGAAAACACACTCAAGGGCAGCTTCACCAGCTCTCATAGGAGGAATGGGAGCCAAGGTGAACTCTCCAAGAGAGGTGTTGTCCGCACAGTTCGTACGCTCACCCTGGTAGACAGGGAACTGAACAGTAGTCTGGTTGTCCACAACAGTAGTGAAAGTGCGCTTCTTGATAGTAGGAACAGTCTGTCCGCGAGGGACCACAGGGGCAAAGATGTTGCCCTCCATGGCAACACCAAGAGACAACGGAACAACGTCCAAAAGCAGAAGATCCTGGGTCTCAGCAGAAGTAGCCTTTCCTGAAAGAATGCCAGCTTGAACGGCAGCACCGTAGGCGACAGCTTCATCGGGGTTAATGCTCTTAGAAGATATATCAGTCAGTGTCAATCACAATATGCCACAGCGAAGAGAACTCACCTTCTCAAGCTTCTTTCCGTCAAAGAAGTCGCTGAGAAGCTTCTGGATGCGAGGAATGCGAGTAGAACCACCAACAAGCACAATCTCATCAACCTTGCTCTTCTCAAGGCCAGAATCCTTGATTACCTGCTGCACTGGCTCCAAAGTGCCAGAGAAAGACTTGGCATTCAGGTCCTCGAAACGAGCACGAGTAATGGACGAGTTGAAATCTTCTCCATCGAACAGAGAATCAATCTCAACAGTAGTCTGGGTGGCGTTGGACAAAGTGCGCTTGGCACGCTCACAGGCCGTTCTCAGACGACGCAGGGCCCTGGCATCACCCGAAAGATCCTTTCCGGTCTTGCGTTGAAATTCCTTCTTGAAATGGTCAAGCAAGTTAGTATCGAAATCTTGTCCACCAAGGTGAGTATCACCAGCTGTGGCCTTGACAGTGAAAACACCACCCTGGATGTTCAACAGGGACACATCGAAGGTACCACCACCGAGATCATAGATAAGGACATTGCGTTCCTTGTCGGATTTTCCGGAACCAAGACCATAGGCAATGGCAGCAGCAGTGGGTTCGTTGATAATACGAAGGACGTTAAGACCGGAGATAGCGCCGGCATCCTTGGTCGCTTGACGTTGGTTGTCGTTGAAGTAGGCTGGTACAGTGATAACCGCCTTTTCAACCTTCTTACCAAGCTTGGTCTCCGCGACCTCTTTCATCTGTGATATACCATCAATCGTATATTCTAGCAATAGGGTTCATGGCTCTAATTACCTTCATCAAGACCATAGAGGAGATCTCCTGGGGAGTGAAAGTTTTCGTCTCTCCAAGGTACTCAACCTCGACGGCGGGGCTTCCTCCCTGATCAACTACCTTGAAGGGCCACGATTCGACATCCTTCTTGACAATAGGATCATCATAACGACGGCCGATAAGACGCCTAAAGTATGTTAGGATGAGAAATGAAATCTTTGACGCTCATACAGTAACGCACTTGATATCAAAGATAGTGTTCTTCGGGTTCATCGCCGCCTGGTTCTTTGCGGCCTCACCAATCAAGCGCTCCTTCTCGGTGAAAGAGACGAAGGATGGGGTCGTGTAACTACCCTGCTCGTTGGCAACTGAAGGTGACAAAATGATTAACCAACAATCTCGGTTTCAGAAAGCTTGAGGTAGACATACTAATCTCAACATTGGTGCCTTCATAGTTGGCAACGCAGGAGTAGGTTGTGCCTAGGAAACCAGTTAGCTTACTTGCAGACAAAGGGATTTAAAATAGAGAGAGGGAGAGGGAGGGAGAGAGAGAGAAACAGGCTGAAGGGGAGAAGATTTCAAGATACACAAGAGTAATCGGGGTATACAACTCACCAAGGTCAATACCAATGGCGCCTTCGTAAACTTCGTCAGACATGGTGAATGAAGAGGGGGGGGGGGGACGTGGGAGATGAAAGGGACAAGGACAGAAGGGAGGAGTGGAATGAAAGAAAAAGAAATTTTAAGAGGGGAGGATTATAAGTTCACTCCAAGTGTTGAGAGAAAAAGCAGAAGGAAAAAATTGGAGAGTTCTGAGGGGAGGGCAAAAAAGAAACCCACTTTTGATTTTTTTTTTT